TGCTTTCCTAATTGGTTGTTGTTACAGGCCTGTAAACACATAAATATAAGTATAAAGTGTAAGTATAAATATAAGTATATCCACATCAGCAGAAGACATGAAGAAATGATTGCTGGGATAGGATTAAACCTATCACAGAAGTGCTTAGGCTTAAGTCAGTTGTTTGCATGGTATTGGCAAAGTTTTAGAGGTGATAATTTCTGGAGACTGCTATAAGATATAATTTATGAATTTTCTGTGCATACAGAAATTATTAGCATATTAAAATTTTTATGTCCAAAAGATTGCTATGCAGTTATGCAAAATATGTGCACAAATCTTTAGAACACTAATTGCCTTTCTGATTCTGCAAAAATCTGACATTGTTCTGCATTTGCTTTTAATTTGTTTGTTCCTCCATTCAAAACATGCTGGATGGACCACCAAGGCTGCAGCTGTTCTGGCTATTCTCTACTCTGAGGCACCATTGATATATGAATATATATTTCTTACCCCTTCTTGCAAAGATTTTATTTTATTTTATATTATTTTATTTTATTTTATTTTATTTTATTTTATTTTATTTTATTTTATTTTATTTTATTTTATTTTATTTTATTTTTTAAAATTTTTATTTTATTTTTCTACACTGCTCTTTGATTGTAGGGAAAAAGTGGAAGGTTTTCAGCATTTTGGCCTCCAGCAACATGACTTCCATATGTTGTTGTTGTAGCAGCCTGGTGTCAGTCTTTCACTTAATGAAACCTTCCAAGTCTTTAAAAAGAAAGTTTCTGATGCCAGTGAGGGTTTGATTCTACCAGGATTCCTTCCTTGACATCCCACCAAAATGGGCCCTGTTTTTTTTCATAGTTCTAATAATAATTGTTCTTTCATATTTCTCTGAAATACCTTCTTAGACTGGCACAATGTACATGGTGATGTGATGGGCTGTAACCTAATCCACACTGCTGAGGGAATATCTGGTGCCAGATTTTCATCTCCCACAGGATTATTTGTAAATACAGAAATAAAAGCTGCTGCAAGAACCAAGTATACTAATTCACACTTCTGCATTACTAAAACAATTTTTTTAATTAGCTGCACTCATTAAAAGAGTTTCCTCTCATCTGTGTTTGCATGCAGAGCTGGCAGCTGAATGCCAAATATCTCAGATATTTTATTTCTGATGTTTTCAATTAGTCCAGGCTCCATTTCAGATACCAGGATTAACTTTATATCAGGAACAGCCATCACTGGGCAACAGATCCTGTGTTGCCATGTTTTTAGACAACTAATTTCTAGCTTTATCTCTTCATCATGGGCAAGAGCATTTATTTTGGTGTAATCAAGGGAAATGCAAAAAGATTTATGCTTTAAAATCATAAGCAACACTCTTGGGCAGTGACTAAAAGGTCTAATTTAAACACAAATCTTTTTCCATTAATGCCTGGGAACATCTGCTAGCAAATCAGGGACATTCACATCAGGAGGCCAATTTCCAGAACTGGACAAGTGATTAGATTTGATGGTAAATGAAACAGTGGTAAATCAACATTTTAAGGGCTCTAGATAAGAGCACTGGCATGCTGGGCAATTCCCAAGCTGAGATGCACTGAATCCCTCTTGTACTCTCTGCTCAACACCATTAAAAAAAACACATTATTGCTCTGTACTTGGTGGCAATGGAAACTGACTTTTGCTTGCTGAAATACAGTACCTGTATGATCATGGTATATATAAATTGTACAACATTAGGAGTTAGAATTCAGTTGGAGATCTGGTGCTAAATGCCAGAAACTCTACATTAATTTCTGCACCCTGGGAGGAGCAAAAGAGGGAATGGTGAAATCTGCACACACTGAAACTCTCCTATTAGATCTGAAATGTTTATTTAGGATTCCTCTATGTGAGTCTTCTCACTTCAATGAGAACAAGGTTTTATGTATATGCATAGATGAGAACTGAATGAACATCAGACAAAAAATAATCTTGGTATGTAAAGATAAATGGAAAATCACAGTCAACTGCATGTAGGAGATTTTCTTCATTTACCATGGTCACTGTTGACAGTAACAACTGACATAGACACACAATAATAGCTAGGAAAACAGAGATCTGATCATCTGGACAAACAGAATCAAAACAAAAATGCAGGGCAATATCTTGTAGTATTGTGGAATGCTGAGTTTCTATTAAGCATAGTGAGATGACACTAAAAAGTTGTAACTCACATTTGCTAAGCCTGTATTTGCATCCTGAATATTTTTTGCCATGTGTTTGTGTACTGCAGTGTACAATGGCCCCAATCTCGTTTGGATCCTCTCTTGAGCCTTTCTGTGTCACCATCTGAAGGTGAATTACTCATATTGCATTTGCAATGTAAATTTGACAGCACTCCTCAAGTCCCACGAAGAATAGAAAATTGTTCAAGAGTTCAAATATAATTTATTAATGTTCAACTGAAATATTACATATTTTAAACATATATTTTGAAAGATAATCTGTGCATAGTTTCAGGCTGTAGTCCAGCTGAAGTACTGGTTTGGGGAAACTGAAGTAGATCCATGTCTATTTACTGACTCAAGCTGATCTATGAAGATGTTTAAGACAATACTCCCAAAAATACCTTAAAACCCCCACCACGATAATTAGAACGATATAATAGTATTAATCAACAATGAAGGGCTAAGTGCTATGATTTTTATTTTGCAGGGACCAGCAGGACCAGGAAAGTTATCATCCTCCTGTTCTCAGCATTGGTGAGGCCACACCTCAAGTGGTACATTCAGTGTTGGGCCCTTCACTATCAAAAGGACATTGAGGTGCTGGAGAGTTTCCAGAGAACTCTTTTGAGGGAGCTGGGGGTTTTTAGTCCCAAGGAAAGGATGCTCAGGGGGTCTCCATCACTGTCCACATCACTGACTGGGGAGGGTGCAGTGAGGTGGGACCGGCCCCTGCTGTGCCTGCAGTGAGACCATCACAGGAAATGGCCTTAAGATGAGACAGGCGACATTCAGATTAGATATCAGAATATTTTTTTTTCCACTGTGTGATAATTGATAAAAGATTCGTGTTAATCACAAAAGCATTGGGGTTTGTATAAACCAGAATACTAAGCTCTGAAGTGAAGCATGGACACTAGATAAAGGAAATGATATGATAAAATCATTCTGTTTCAAATCACCTTGTTATGTTATATTATGTTGTATTATGTTACATTACATTATGTTATATTATGCTGTGTTTTCCAAATAAACTGTATCGGCTACCAGCTTGCAAAATCAGACTTCCCAATAGCCCTTCCTGCCTTTGTCTGATCAATACTGCCTATCCCAAAAATCAGACTTCCAGAACTTCTCTACAACTTCTTCCTCCACTGCTTATGACAAGAAAAAAACAAAAATTATTGATTACAACGAGAACCCACAGTATAAGAAGAGGCTGCAAACCAAGGTTGGGTGGAGCGTGGAGTGGGCGGTGACCCCTCGCGTTCCCCAGCGCGCTGCTTGCTCTTTCTATATCGAATAAAGCAACCCAAATTTTGCTGAATATCGAGACTTTTGTCTCTCATTTATAACAACTGTTTAGATACTTAGGCAATAGGAATAGGCTCCCAGGGAGGTGGTGGAGTCGCCATCCCTGGAGGTGCTCAGCAGGAGCTGGGTGATGTGGTTTAGGGGTTACAGTGACGGGCAGACAGTTGGACTGGATTGAATTTGACTGGACTGGATTTGAAGGTCGCTTCCAACCTTGATAATTCCACGATTCTGAGAGGAATGTCGGATTTGTCTTTACAGGCTGTGGATCTGCTGGTAGATAAGACTAGCACCGAGAGATAAAAGACGGAATGGGATGGATCCCACTGATTGATGAATGGAAAAAGGTATTTGCCTTTACAAACAAACTGTGGGCTGGTGATAAATGAAATTGGATATTGAAAGATGAAAGAAGCAACGGGGAAAAACTATGAATTCTATAAGAATTAAAAATTAAAAGGGAGAGTTATACATTAGAGGGGAATCTTAGGTGCTCTGGGAAGTCTGGACCTCTCAAGGACTTCAGCCCATGGGGAAAGAGAGAGGGAAATGCAGATGGGAAATTAGGATAGAAAGGAGGTGCGTCCTCCAAAAATCTGAGAGATCCCAGGGGAATGCCCTATGGCCTCTCTCTTTATTCAAATAAAGCAAAAAGGACTCCTCTGTCTCCTTTTTGGACATAAACCTCTGGTGTTTGTGGATTAATTCTCCTGATAATTCTAACTAGACGGTCTTTAAAGTCCCTTCCGACCCAAACCATCCTATGGCCCTATAATTTACTTCATTCACGAGAGCACAGCTCGATCAGTAACTAAGGAACGCACGCATTAGAGGCGCAGGGACAAGAGCATCGCGGCTTTCTCTCCCATTTTCCCCCGCTCCCCTCAGATGCCGGCGCTCCCCGTTCCCCCCTCACGGCCCGCGGCTCTCCGCGCCCGCAGCGCCCTCCGGAGGCGGCGCCGGAGCCGCGCCCACAGCGGAGCGGCCTGGGCGGCTCCTCCTGCGCCGGGCTCCCCGCACCGCCCGCCGCCGCCAACGGCGCTCGGCCCGCGGCTCGGCTGCCAACGAGGAAGGAAATAAAAGCGAAAGGAACGCTGAGAGATCGGTAAGCACCTCTGCGGCGGCTCAGCAAGGCCCAGCCCTGCTCGCTGCGGAACACACGGCGCAGCCGGCAGAACCGCGGCGAAAGCAGCGCTAATATGGAGGATCACGGTCAGAGCGCAGCGGCTCCACGACCACCGGCGGTGCCCGCAGAGCCCTCGGCGATCTTCTGAGGCGGAGAGCGTAGGCTCGGCTCGGTGCGTGCATCCCGGGAAGGCAGCACGGAGGTGAGGCGGGGTCATCCCGGCCGCGTCCAGCGGGTCTGGGTGACAACGGCCGCGGCCGCGCGCCCGCCATGTCACACACCGGCAGCAGCGGCGAATCCTCGCCGGGCTCGCGGGGCCGCCGTTCGCGCCCGCCACACGCCCAGGAGGAGACGGCGGAGGCGGCGGGCGAGAGGCTCCGGCAGCTGAACATCGACGAGGGCGACGACAGGGAGCATAACAGGATGATCCGCAGCCAGTATCGGGAGCTGATCTCCACCGTGCAGCGTAAGGAGGCAGCGGGGGCAGCGCCGGGGCTGCGGGTGGAGGGTTGGGGCTGGCGGCCGGGGGGGACTCCGGGGCTGGCGGCCGGTCCTGGGCGTGTGGGCTGTGAGCGCCCAGGAACTGTGGAACTCGGGATGCCGATGCTTTAGGTTTGTACTTCGATCGGACTTCGACTCGCAGGAAGCATGGGATCGCAAAGTCATGGACGGGTTGGGAGGGACCTGACCGGTATTGCTATTCCAACCGTGGCAGGGACACCTTCCCTTGTCCCAGGTTGCTCCTAGTTCTGTCCAACCTGGCCTTGGACACTTCCAAGGATGGCGCAGCCACAGCTTCTCTGGGCAACCTGTGCCTCACCACCTTTACAGGGAAGGATTTCTTCCTGATATCTAAACGTATTCTCCTTCAGAGTGAGGCCATTCCTCTTGTCCTGTGGGAAGTCCTTTTCCTGCATCCCCTGGGAAGTGAGGTTAAGAGGGATTTAGCTGCACTAACACACATGTGGTACCTGCATTGGTGCAGGGGAACGATTGGCTTTAGACCTGGAGATGCAGCGAAATTTTTAAATTTTGCTTTCATGATGTCTGAGCTTTAGTTTGAAACTGCAGGTATCATGTGCCTGGACCACAAAGTTATTCTTTGGCCTTCCAAAAAATGCTATGTAATTTTTAGCATCTCTCCAGACAGGTGTGTGAATCCTTCTCCTATGTGCATTTGAGTGAGTTGTGCTGTTTTCCTCACAAAAATGTAGCTGTGATTGTGTGAGTAGCAGTGCCAAGTTCAGCAACAGGTGGGATTAGTTATTTTGTCAATACTTGATAAATTTGTGCAGTTGTTTTACAAGAAGCTACAGTGCAGTTTATGGGTAATCCAGCCTGTTTATAGAAGTGCCCAAGCATATAGTTTTAGGGGCTGGTTTATTTCTTTCATGGAAATTCTACTAATTTCCCCAAGTCGAGCTTGTTTTACCTGTGAGGTAACTGGTGAATGATCTCTCCCTTATCTAGACCCATGAGCTTTTTGTTCTATTTTCTCTCCTTGGCCCAGTTGAGGAGAGGAGTGATGGAGCTTTGGTGGGCACCTGGCCTCCAGTCAGCATCAAACAAGCACAGTGTTTCTCAGTGCTTCTATGTTTTAGTAATGCAGGATTTCCTTTGTGTCTTTTCCCACAGAAAATCGAGAGGCTATGCTGAATTCAAGAAGCAACAAACTGACAGAAGCTTTGGAAGAAGCCAATAGACTTTTTGATGGAGGTAAAACAAATTCTGTGGTCTTTAATTGATGTTTGGCCAAGTGTGAGGTGATGATGCCTTACAAACAAAAGAGGGCAAGAATAAAGTTGAGGTCCAAGTACTTAATCAGAATTTTTATATAACTTAAAATAGATATATTAAGTTGAAGGTATATAACTTAAAATAGATATGTTAAGTTGAAGGTTGGTTGAGTAAGTTGCTGTGAGAAAATAAATGTCATTACAGTTTATTTGCCCTTAGAAATAACTCCTTGCTTTATTTTGATTCACTGGAACAATATATCTCAGTAATACACATAAAATGTATCACTGTAGAAGGGTTCATTTCACTTGGAAGGGTGGAAAACGTCAATAATAAATGCAGTTGTTGTTCAAGATCATGTGTTGCTTTTCCATGGTTTGTCACTCTTTCCTTTTTTAAAATGCAAATATTATTATAAAGATTATGTAAGTGTGTTAGAGGTCATTGCAATAAAAGCATTTCCAAAGCACTATATCCAGGATAGTCCCTATACTGAATCTGATAATTACATTTGTGACAATTTCATATTAATCACCATAAAATCTTTTCTGTAACAGTTTGCCGTGCACGTGAGGCCGCACTGGATGCCCAGTTTCTTGTTATAGCATCCAATATAGGAAAGGAGAAGGCCAATGAGTTACACTCAGAAATGTCAGCATTTGATTCAACAGCATTTGCAGAAGACTTGGTAAGTTCCAGGCTCTGAATTTGCCAACATTTCTGCTGGAGGTTTGCCCTGTTTGTTACAGAACCATAAAGCCTCAGATTGTCAGGCAGTACATGGCAGTTCTGCTGGAATTTAATGTTCTTCCTATTAATTCATTTGATAAACTTTCTGGTTACTGTTGTTAATTGCCTTAAGCTACATACTAAGCACTTGCAATAGGGGAAAATCTGACTTAAAATGCAGACACCTCTCCCATTATTGCGCTGCTGCTGCTGCTTTATCATGGTTCAGTCAGTTTGTGCTCTTAAGGTCTTCTGCTCTTTTTTCTGTGGTTTCTCAGTAGCTAAGTAGTTTCTTTATCCTGTCTATTGGTTTCTGTGCTCTTGGATGGAATTCTCGAGGCCCCGTGTCACTGACATGAAATGGGACTTTGGGACACCTGAATGCTTTCAGACTGGATGGTTTGTCTCTTTGTACTGAGACTGGGGGGAAGAGTCAGGTCAGAACAACTTCTAAGCTGTTGGCTTTTTTGTTCCTTGAAAATGCTCCCTTATGTTACAGCAGATCAGCAAGGAATCTTGAGTGTTTGCTCAAGTCTATAAGAACCAAAAAGTTAAATTGAAAATTTTTCCTGGGTTGGTGTGGACTGGTGGATGCAGGGATAGGCCAGATAAGTGATATTTGAGGGGCTGGGCTTCCTGAGAGTGTGTGATGCTCAAAAAATGTGAGACATCTGAGCTCTGAAGTGCAATATAAGTAATGTTTTGCTACTTCATACATCACTGAAAATGTGTTGGAATCTAAGCAGTTTTGTTTACCTATGGCTTTCATTGGTTGCTGAACACAAGGGTGAATTTCAGTGTATCTGTTTTCATGGTATCCTCAGGAAAGTCAAAGCTCTTAGGCAGTGATATTAAATACTAATTGATCAGGCAAACACCACAATACAGTGTTTTGCCATGAATGTATCTACCTCTGAGTGGTTTTTTATTGCAGCTTTTTTTCTTTTGTAGCTGACCTTTATGGGTATAAATCGCACAGAAATAGAAGAAAATGATGACTCTGAGGATGCCTCAGGTGTTTTTTTACCTAGTGATGCCTGGAAGACAATGGGAGAAGAAGCACCCAAGTACTTCAGAAGAGCACCTACTTTTCACTACATGTAAGTTTCTTCAAGGAAATAGTATGTACTGCAGCTCAAGGTAATGACCTTAACTGATTCTAGTCTTTGATGCCCTGGCTTGAATTGAGTTTAATCTGAAGTCACAGCAGAATGTTGACAAGGTGTGAGGCTGTCAACATACTGGAGCAACTTTTGGGGCTGGTTCTTTTCAGAAATGTATAAATGTGACGAAGGTTTATCATTAGGTATCAGTCATCACTTTGCACTTTCTTGAGGAGATCCACTGCTCAGAATAAAGATTCCTAAGCATACAGTATAAACCACATTTGCATGTATGTGCTCTTTGTGTTTTGGTTAGGATGGGATCTTTCAAGTCTGAGCCTCCTGTACCAAAGCAGCGGATTGAGAGGCAGAAGAAAGCTAACAGAGGAAAAGCAGAACGGGCAATGCCTGCTCAGGTTTGTAAAGTGTTACCTTTATTAAACATTTGTTCTGGCATAGTTATTACAAATGACTTCTAAATGTTTTAGTTAGTTTTGGGTTTTGTAATTATAAACTGTGTAGTATTTGTGACATCCCACCCTTAAGGGGATGGAGCATCCAAGATCCACAGATGCTTGTGCTGTGCTTATCTCCAGGAGCCAGAACAAGGACGTTTGTCCCAGAAAGTGTTGCCCTACCTTCATATGGCTCTTTCTGCAAGTATATCCTGTTGTTTCTCACAGTGTGTGATTACCAGCACTCCTTGCTTGTTATTGCCTGCAATCCTTGGTTGTCTCCACAGCCATCCAACTGGAGTTGGAGACACACACAGCAGCCCCTTTCCTTCTGAGTTTCTACTAAAGGATTCAGACTCCATTATTTGCCTTCTTGATTTGTTTTGTGTGCACTGCAGTATTTCACTGAGTGGAAGGAAATAGGATTTACAGACCAATCTAATGTTCAGAAATAGGGTTTACAAGCTGAGTTTTCAAGTTATGAGCTTACTTGTTCTGTTGCCTGTTGCTTTGAAAGGAAACAAAAAAGAAACTTCTTTACATTAGCATGGTTTCCATTTTTTTTTTAAAGTGTCTAATATGGTGTGGCATTTACACTGAAATGTGGTTAATGGCCCCCAGCTAATTAGCTCACATAACCTCTGTTTTTTGTGCTTTCTGTTTCCTTATTCTTTGTGTCATTTACTGGCAGAAAAACAAAAGTCTGGGAATACTGCAAGAGGCTTACATCTGAAACTGCAAATATAACCCCTGTTGTTACAGGGAAGCTGAGGCTGTGATAATGCCAGGATATAGAGGCAAATGGTTGATTATTGCCTTTTTAAAGGCGGCCTACTCAATCCAAATAGTGATAGAAAGGATTTGTTGTAGTTTGTACTGGGAATAAGAGGAACTCAGGGTTTGTGGGTTGCTTATAAATGATCATCTTTATTAAACTCACAGATTGTAGCAATGTGTAGCCCAGCTCCTCAGAGCTATTGAAAAGTAAGTGTACACCTGTACATACAAGCCATGGCCTTTCAGATTGATATTGTAAGATGGGAATTAAAACCTAAAGCTCTTCAAAGTTGTCTCATGTTTGCATAAGTATGTTTGTTATGTTGCATGTAGGGAGAAAAATTCAACTTTTATTTACACATTCAAAAGAGGCCCTTTGCATATTCTGGTAATTCAACAACAGTTATTTGAGGTGAATCTCTGTTTGTTTCTCCCAGTTAAAAAAAATGGAGGAATCTCATCAAGAAGCTACAGAAAAAGAAGTAGAGAGGATCTTGGGAATACTGCAGACTCATTTTGAAAATGATCGTAAGTATGATTAAATTAAGCATTAACTGGAGAAAATGTGTATTCTCTGTCTTCTACAGTTGGGAGTGCTAAAACTACAGAGACAAAATGAGGTGAAGTCTGCAAGTAGAAATCTTGGTGAAGCACATATCCCAACTATGTATTTTTTATGAACACTAATCAGCTGCTGTTTGACTGCAAAGTAAATGTAAATCCTCTCTCCTGATAAAAGCCTGCCATTTTTAGATGGCAGTCAAACAGTGGATCTGTGTGGGAGAAAAGATGGAAGAAAATAATATACTTCATAGAACATTTGTTTTTGCAGGCAACTGGGAATTCAGCATTGTAACTCAATTGACGAATATCCCTTTAGCTTTGGAAACGTGTACTGGCTCTCTTAAGTTTGTGTTTCTGTTAGCTCTGTGTATACCACCTGTTTGTTTGTTTTAACAAAGCCATTTTTGTATCCCCAGCTAATACACCCATTTCCTTCTTTGATTTTGTGATTGATCCGAACTCGTTTGCACGCACTGTGGAAAACATGTTTCATGTGTCCTTCCTTATCAGGGTAAGGCATGACATCTTGAAATATCACTTGAGATACTAGAATTACCTAGAAATACTGACCTGTTGTTTTTCCAGTTTCAATATTGAAGAATTAGGATTTAAATATGAGGAATACTAATTTATTTTCTGCAAACATTCTGTGATATTTTGGTAATTGAATAAAAAACGAAAAGAGTTGACTGACTTAATTTTTTTTGAACTGCAGTCAATTTACCAATGAAACAGTAGTGATATTTTTGCAGTCAATATGTTTTTCAAAATAGATTCTGGCTCACATTGTAGATGTAGAAAAGTTCTCAGAAAGTATAGAAGAGTTACTGAGGCTGTAGAAAATTACGCTCGTGAAAGGTTTTCTTTTTGAATCCCTGGATTTGCACGTCAAAACTATACTTAGTTCATTTAATAAGTAAAATTAATTCTGGATAAGACAAAAACTGACAAGGATATTTTGACTAATTCAGGTTTCACATTGAAGAGAAATGTTATTATGAACGGTTAGCTCAAATGTATTTAGAGAATAATAATGATTTTAATAAAGAAAACTTTTATAATCCAAGAGTTAGACATTGTGCTATATGGGCTTCCTTTTTATGCATAAGTGCTGTATTAAATTAGTTTTTTCTTATGTAGTATTCCAATGAAGATTCTTTATCAGTATATTTACCTGTTCATGATTATGTAATAAGTAAAAATATGAAATTTCAGCACATTCTCCTAACTGGAAAGCTCTGAGTAATGAAACTTTAAATCCCACTGTTTTTTAGGATGGTCTTGCAAAAATAAAGATGGATGAAGATGAATTGCCAATAATAGGTAAAATATAGCTTTAAAATACTCTTAATTGGTTTTTGTAGCAACATTACATATTATGTATTCATAAAGATCTAGGTATATTTTTAACTGGGGATATGCAGTGAATGTAACTGAAGGCATGAAGAGATTTATGAGCAGCTGAAAGGATTGAGTCTTTTCAAATATCAGTGTATGGAAAAAGACGATTTTGCTGATTTATACAAATTAATTCTATTAATAGAAATCAAAGGTTATTACTTCTCAAGTTATATTGTTACTAATAAGTACATGAACATTGTTACACTTGGCTGAAAAAGGTATTTTTGGGTGTAAGAGCTTTCTTGTCTCAGAGTTGGGAACTGCTGCAGCTTCAAAACAGTTAGAAGGGAAATGCCATTCTTCCTATGAGGTTGGCTTTCATTCCCATAGGATCTGAGTGGAGTTAGGATTTTGGTGGGATTTTGTAAGGAATGAAGCACTTAGGTCCTTCTGAAAAAAGTTAGTTCCTCAATTTCTAAGATGTGAGACTAAGGAAGTATCTCAAGCAGTACATGGTACAGGCTGCTGATAGAGACTAGCTGGGTGGAATGTGTAAGATGGAGCTGATTTTTGTGGAGCTTTTGTGTTCTCTGGTGGAAACTGATTTACAAGTGTAAATCCTGAAAATGCTGTGTTTTGATCAGAGCCTCTAAAACCCAGTGGAGGAGAGGAGGACAGCAGAGCTGGAGCACGGAACCAGGTGGTCTTAAGTCTGGACCAGAAAGAATGGCAGGTACCACGGAGAGCACTTCATACTTTGGATTAATTCTTTTTTATTTAAACCTCTGAGAGCTGTGCTGTTGCCTGCTCTGGGGAAGGGCACATGTTCTGTGCACAGTAACTGCATTGACATTGTGGATGCCAGAACAATCACACATCTAAGGGATGTTTGTAGCTGCAAGAAAGCTGAGAACTGGGATGGCAATTCCATCTCTGATTCCTGAAGCCAGGTCAGTTTAAGTGCTTTTAAGCTGTGCACTGACTTCACTGTTTTATACAAGGCCTAGGTAAATATGGAATCTGTTTCTTGCCTTATGTATAATATTTGTCTCTGGAGAAGTTGTCCATGCAATTTCCTCACTCTTTATAATAAATCTTAAGACAAAAAGTAGTTTTGAGCACACATAAGGCTCTTCTTCGTCCCTCACTCAGAATGTGCAGGAGAAATGTAGTAATTTAAAATAGTGCTTTAGTATCAGAAACTTTATTACTTGCTTGGTGGTAATTAAATAGAAATAGTTCAGCTCTTTTGACTGACATGCTGCTGTCATCTCTAACCAGGAGATCATAGAAACATTTCAGATAAGAGAAGCCATGATTACCCCTCTCTCTCAGGGCACTGAAGAGGACATGGAAACAGAGTAACTACTCAAGTAAGTTCTTTTAACAACTCAAACTCAGTAAGCTCCTTATGCAAGTGGAAGAACTTCAGGGAAACTATGTATGACTTAAAAATGGAGAAGAACTGTAAACAGGGTGACTAACATCTCGAATTGCTGTGTTCTTGCCCTCTTCATGAAACAAAATGTAATCTAGTCTTGTATACAATGATTAACTGGGGGAAAAAAACCCTTTATTTTTGAGTTTGATGGTCAGTTAAGTGATGAGTTATTTTTTGAGACTTTTCATACTTGGAATGCAGTGTTGGAAAGAATCATAGCTTAGTTTATCTGTTTGGTTTCTTGACTTCCTGACAGCTGATGTTGTTAATAAAGTAGTCTGAAGAAGGACTTAGAGGGAACCAGGCTGTCTTCCCTTCTGCTTCCATAAAATTCTTCCAGTGATAGGATTGACGTCCTTACTGTCACAGTTGTTTGGTCAGTTCCAGATCTTACTGTCTTACTGTCTTTTTTTCTTTTTCTTTCCCCTTAGGTGCCTTAAAGAAAATACTTCAAAACATTTGTTTCAACAATTGTTATATATGTATATATTGTAAAATTAAATTTATTTTTTCTTGAACATCACAACACTTTTTGTGAGATGCTTTGTTTAGAGCCATGGAATGGGTGGGATCAGAAGGAACCTTAAATCCCATCCAGATCCACCCCCTGCCATGGGCAGGGACACTTTCCACTATCTCAGGCTGCTCTAAGCCCTGTCCAGCCTGGCCTTGGACACTTCCAGGGACCCAGGGGCAGCCACAACTTTTCTGGACAACATAAGGAACTTCAGACTTGTTCACAGAGTTATTTATATATTATGGCTCAGTTTGCTACTTCATGTAAAGTTTACTGGCACTCATGAAAAAGGTAAAAAGGAAACCCTGTGTCCCTTCTTTCCTCCCTTGTCTCCCCCCAGCAGCAGCAAGTGGAATTCATGTGGTTAAACATCCCTGCTGGGATAACCTTGCTATCCTACATTATTTTGGGTACTGCAGAAGAATTGATATTGCCCTGCTGTTTTTACTGTTCTGGAAATAAAGGTTTGCGTTTGGAAATTCTCTCTCAATTACAGATAGCAGTTCCCCCTTCCTTTAATCCAGCCTCCTCCTGTATTTGTTTGGTAACTTGGGCACAACATTATTTTTATTAAAAGTACATGAAGTCTTGTTCCATTGCCAGAAGACGCTCTGTGGAAGAGCTCAGGCTTTCTTCCATCCTTTTATCCTGCTGTAGCAGCCGGGGGGGTACACAGGGATCCGTCCCCCTGAAAGGTCTGTTCCAGCCTGTTAGTGGGGTGAGCAGCTGCTCAGGGTGTGCGGGGACGCGGAGCGAGGAGCGGCCGAACCGGCAGCGTTGTTTCATCGCCGATCCGCCCTCGGGGGAGGCTGGGCCGGGCCGGGCCGGGCCGGGCCAGGCCGGGCGGGGGCGCTGCGGGGCTGCCGGCGCCATGCCCGCCGCCGTGGTGGAGTACAAGGGATGGAAGGAAGGTTACAGCTGCGGCTACTGCGGGGCGGCGCGGGGCAAGGTGTCCGCAGGTGAGCGGGGCCGGGGGCTGGCGGGCACACCGGGCCGGGCCGGGCCGGGTTAGGGTGAGGGGGCTCCTCCGGCCCGACCGCGCTGCCCGCGCGAAACATGGCGGCACCGCCGCTTCCTGTGCGCGCCGCCCGCGCGCCGCCCGCAGCCAAGATGGCTTCCGGGCGGCCCGGGGCGCTGACCTGAGGCGGGCGGGCACCGCGGGGATGGCGGCGGGCGGCGGCTCCCCGAGCATCGTCGAGTTCTTCGGCGGGGAGGATGGCTACCGCTGCGGCTACTGCAGGAGCGACACCGGCAACCTGTCGCACGGTGCGGGCGGGGCGGGCTGCGAACGGGGCCGGCCGAGGAGCGGCGGCTGCGGGAGCGGGGCCGGGGAGGGCGGCGGGGACAGGCTCGGCTCGGCACCGCCGGGAGCTCGGAACGGCTCCTATGGCCCCATGCTCCCCAATGAGTGTGACAGAACTCAGCAGCAGTTTTGCGTTGTTTGCCTTGTATATTTCTGGGGAGGTGGGAGGTGCAGAGGGGAACTTAGCGCTGGTGTGATCGGAGAAATAATGTTGATTGCGTCCTAAGATTTGTGTTGGGCTTAGGGTTTTTACATTTAATGTGGTTATTGAAATTAGTAATTACGATATTTAAGAACATATCAAATCCTTGAAAAACATTTATGCATAAGTGGCCGTTAGCTACTCAGATTTGCAGTAACCACAGAATCCCAGGATGGTTTGGGTTGGAAGGGACCTTAAATCCCATCCAGTGCCACCCCTGCCATGGCAGGGACACCTCCCACTGTCCCAGCTGCTCCAACCCCAATGTCCAACCTGGCCTTGGGCACTGCCAGGGATCCAGGGGCAGCCACAGCTGCTCTGGGCACCCTGTGCCAGCCCTGCCCACCCTCCAGGGAACAATTCCTGCCCAATATCCCATCCAGCCCTGCCCTCTGGCAGCGGAAGCCATTCCCTGTGTCCTGTCCCCAGTCCCTTGTCCCCAGTCCCTCTCCAGCTCTCCTGGAGCCCCTTTAGGCTCTGAGCTCTCCCTGGAGCCTTGTCCAGGTGAGCACCCCCAGCTCTCCCAGCCTGTCCCAGAGCATAGGAGCTCCTGGCAGTTCTTGTTATATTTTAAAGCCAAACCATGGTCAGTCAAGTGTTGCTGTGTTCTTTATTTCAGGTATGTGGGCACATTCGATGACAGTTCAGGATTACCAAGATCTCATAGACAGAGGATGGCGAAGGTACATTGAAAAAGAAAATACAAAGCCACGTTGTCAGTTGAGATAAAAGTTATACTCCACATTTAAAATTTAGATCTGTAGAAGCACTTATATATCCATGAGTAGTTGAACTATTTGTCCAGTGCTCTGTGACCTTTTGTAACATGACACTGTCAAACAGGAAAATACTCAGTGATTTTTGAAGGATAATATGGTCAGCAAAGAACTGAAGAACTTGCTCTTTTGTTACTCATCCTGAAATGCTTTGATGTGATTTTAATAAAAAAGCTTCTTTTTTTTATTTTGGAGTGTAAACAAGAAAAAATCAATGCATATTTATTACTCTTTTCAGAAGTGGAAAATACGTCTACAAACCTATCATGAATCAAACATGTTGTCCTCAATACACAATAAGGTAAGAAACTCAAAATACATTTTTTAAGGGATTTTACCACTTCAAATATGTTCCACCATTTGTGTTTACTGCTTGAAATGCATCATGCTTGAGAAGTTTATCTACTCTTAATGACACTTGAACAGTAAATATATGCTCTTGGGTTTGTGCAAAGGGAAATCAGCAGCTCTGAGATATTTCCTGTAAGGAACCTTGTCTGTAACCCACAAACATTGCTTTGGCAGCCCAAATAAGAGAGGCTTATACTTGTATTTTAGTAATTCTAGAGATAGACGTAAAAAAACATGCCATAAGAACAGATATTATTCAGTAGAAGAGGACATAATTGCATTATCTCAAAAGCAGTGATAAAAAGTTTGACCACTCAATACAGGGAAACTTAAGAAATAAATAGAAATTACAGTGTAATTTTTATAAGTAGTTCCTTAACTTTTTTTTCCTGAAAAAATCTTTCACAAAATAAATGTTCTTTTTTTTCGTCTTTTTTAGATGCCGAGCTTTGTGTTTTCAGGCCTCCAAGTCCCACAAGAAGGTTCTGAAGAAAATGCTGAAATTTCTTTCCAAGGGAGATGTTTCAAAAGTAGCAAGTGAAGGTAAAAAACTCTGAGTATTTGAAAACCAGTACTGGTGTCTGGAAGGAGTGTTTAAATATCTGCTTGAGTGGTTAAATGGCAAAAGGGCTTTGAATTCTGTGTGTAGACTCCTGGCTGGGCTGTGTCTTGAGCACTTCAGTTGCCCAGAGGCCAAATTGTTCAGGTGGCTTGGGTTATTGAAGAAAATATTTCCTTTTTCCATAGACCAGCTTATTTTCCTGGGTATGTCCTCACTTTCTAGCTGGGTGCTGTAGAGAATTAGGTGCTGTTTTTACTTCTATCATGAAACTGATAATCTGGAGAAGACTAACTAGAGCAGCTGGTGGCAGAGAAAAGGAAGAGCAAACAAAGAGAGTTTTTCCAGGTGATTGAACATTCACCTTCCATTTATCCAGCACCAAACACAGAAATTCTTCATGATGGTGAAACTTGCATTGGTTCTGAATCATTATAATTTGTCTCTTTTTTGTATGTGGTATGCTAGGTTTGTTTACTGTTACTTGTTTGAAGAGAGACACTCATGCAGTTTGTAATTATTGACAGAGGAGCCGATGGATTCCCATATAGAGGATGTGGGCACGTGTGATTTTCCATACAAAAGTGAGTCTCAGGTTAGTCAGTCTGAACTGACTCCCTTGGCAGTGGATCAAGCTGAGAGGGTGGAGAATGAAGATAAGGAGTCAGGAGAGACAAAAGAAGAGGGGAATGTGCAGAAGGTGGAAGCGGATTCTGTTCAGATCTGTACAGACAAAGACACCCCAGTCCCTGCAGAACCATCACATTCAGCTAAAGCTGCTCATGCACCACCTAAGCCAGGTAATTTCTGGTAATAATTGGAATATGCTGTCATCATTTTACATCTTCTTGAAATCCCTTCTTTTTGTCTTGCTTCGTAAATTAATTGTTGTTTTGTTTTATTCCCTATGTTCCTCCCAATTTATGGAATTACAGTGGAAAAATTGAGAGGTGCTGGGTGTTACTTGTAATATTGTAGTTTATATTTTAATATATTAAAAAGTAATATTAATCTTCTTATCCTTACCTTAAGTAAGACTGAATCTCTAGCATCTGACTCTAAAGAGGGGAGATTCAGATTAGAAATTTTTTATGATGAGGGTGGGGAGGCCCTGGCACAGAGTGTCCAGAGAAGCTGGGGCTGTCCAATCCTGAAGTGTCCAAGGGCCACATTGGATGGGGCTTGGAGCAGTCTGGGACAGGGAAAGGTGTGCTTTTAAAGGTCTCTTCCAGCCCAAACCATTCTGTGATTCAATGGCTGCCTTCTCTTGGGATGTGGGTGATTTCTGGAAGGAAGATGGTAAGGGGTGGGTGAATTATTGCCAGAATAATTTATTTAAGGTAGAATTGGTGACAGACACTTGGTGGCCCAGAGGCTACAGGTAAGGCAGCCTTATCTTACAGATCATGTTTCCTATTTTGTGTAGCCTGTTCTGGCAAATAAAGGGAATTTCCTTAATTGTGGTTTACTGGTACATGGTAGGGAAAGTCCTAGTGGAAACTCGTGGCTTTAGAGTTTCTGTCTATGTTGGGACATCCTACTAATTCCTGATTTCACTCACCTGTTGCATGCTGGGCCCGTACTTAGGAGAGTAAAGTACTTCTGTCTCTTTCTATAGCATGGCTGATTTCAAATGAAATAATGTTTTTTCCTTAATGACCACTCATCCCTATTGGATCTGATTTTCACCAGCTTAATAAGCAATTTTTGCATCTATATAAAAGGAAAATTTTCATGAATGCTTGATCAGAGAAT